TTCACCATGATTATATAATTTTAATTACTGTGTAGTACTTAATGTGATCTGATGTCTCTAACATTTATATAAACACAGCCTTATTTAGCCTTAAATACACTCAGGGATCCTCAGAATGTTAATACATGTAAGTCCTTTTGCATGAGTTATGATACAATCTCATAATTCCTTATGTTACCTACCCTTGAAATTCAGAGTTACTAAATGGTGGGGAAAGAGATATTAAGAATGCAATAAGAGAAAAGTATAAATGTACATAAATTAATTTTATTTACTTTTGTTTTCATTCTAAATATGTGTGATATGGCACACTTATAGTTTCATTTTCACTTTCGTCTCTTAGTAATGAGCTTTCAGAAAATGTAGGAATTATACATGTTTTACATGTTTGTATTGTTTTTGTATATTAGTTATGTACGGACAGGTATTTAACAAAATTGAATCTTCTGTTAAGATAAGTCTTTTAATGTCTAAATAATTACCCTGATAATCATTTTCTTGTGTGATATTAATAAAGTAATTATGCTTTTTAATTATCTATAGATAACATGATGTACTTTTCTCATCTGGTGTAAATGTTAAAAACAAAATTTTTAAGTAATTATTTAAAAATATATTTCCATCTTTTTGGCATTATATTTAATCATGCATTGTTTTGTGCAGTATTGTATCATAATAACAAAATGGTTATTTCTACAGTCATCAACATGGAAGATATGTTTTGTTCCTACCCATTTATAATCAATTCTCTATGAAGTTAAGACTGCCTACTCTTCCTTTGGAAATGCACAGTTAATCAACCAACATAGTTAGAAACAAACAAACTTGAGGGTAAAGTTAAAATGAAATATAACTGTGATTTTTATTTTTTACTATGCATGTTTTTACTTTGAAATTGATTAAATTGAGAAGTAAAAGATAGGATTTTATAAGTTAAAAAGGCTGGGTGGTCGTGATCATTTTTAAGCTATATTGATCTCCTTTAGAAGAAGATCTCCATATTTTAAGATATACAAAAAATGATAGCATTTTAAAACTAAAATGTATGATTTTTTTTCTTTGCCAAATGATGATTAAAAGCTTAAGCTATAACATAAAAAAAAGAAAGTTATATATTAGGGTTAATTTGTTAACCTCAGCTTAATTCCTTAATATCATTAACATGTAAACTCCCAAGACCTCCAATCTGTCTGTATATTGTCTTCAGCTCTTTCAACACAAATACCCTGTACCATAGAGACACAAAGGCATAATCAGAATATGTATCATAATCTTGACCAAAGGTTAGTTTATAAGGTTTAAGTCACACCAAATGAAAAATGGGAATTATTGTGGCAGAATACATAATTTTGTAATAAACAAATACTGGAAACTCACTCTCCTAATGAGCCTTAATGTCTTCCAAGAGTTCAGTTTGCACTTGCTTCATTAATGTCTGTATCTTCTCCAATGGTTATGTGGGCTTAAAATCATGTCTTTAACATTCCATTTTCTGACAAATGTTTTCTCCTATCCATTAATGACTTCTCCTCCAGTCAAAATCTTTAAGTATAGTCCAGAAACATTGTAATCCTTACTCTCTTTTGGTTATAATTGGCTATATTCTTCACTGCTTCTTCTGCAGTCAAGTGACTCTTTCAATGTAGTCTCTCACATCATTTACATCACCCTTTTCTTCAATATCATTTCTATGATTTTTTTTCTTTATGTTAATAATCTAGTAATTTATTTGAATGTTTTTTCTCCTTAAATCATTAATATGTATGCTCCAAGATCTTAGATCTATCCATATATTGTTTTCATCATGTCTCTTTGTTTGTCTGAACACAAATACCCTGATTCAATCTTTTGAAGTAAACAACATAGAGACTTCACATCTGAGACAACAGATGATCAGAGTGTGTATCATAATCATGACCAGAGGTCATTTATTGAGGTCTAAATCACAGCAAATGGAAGTGAGAACCTTTTTATCAGAATACATAGTTTTGTGGTAAACAAACACTGAAAATTCACTCTCAAAAATAAGCTTAGTATCATCCAAGAGTTCATTTTTAAACTTCCTTCATTAATCCTCGTCTCTTCACCTCTATTGGGTTAAAATCCTATTCTATAACAATCTTGTTTTTTTTTGACAACTGTTTTCTCTCTTATCATCCATAAGCTTGACTTCTTCTCCAGTCAAAGGTCTTTCAGGGTAATCCAGGTAATTCTTACCCTCTTTTGGTAATAAATGGTTATATTCTTCATTGGCTTCTTCTGCAATCAAGGGTCTTGATCAACATAATGCATTGGTTCACAAAAATATCTTTAAGTTTCTAACAGGTTTCAATTTTGTTTATACGGAATGCTAAGTTTTGTCAATTTCAATTTTTCTGACCAAACTAGTAGAGTATTAAATCTACAAGTTGATCAAGACAATCTTTCTTTCCTTGTGATGATAAATTCTCTCCTACATATAACATGCACATGAAGAAGTTCTTTGGTGGATGATGTCATTTTCACATTCAAAAAAGAAACTAATTCAATTAATCAGAAAGACAATCAATAAAAGTTTAAAGAAAATACAGGAAAATATCAAGACAGGGATTCAAAGAATTGATAAAATTCTACAGTTATCAACTAAAGATGTATATGTTTGGATTTATTTTTAAACTTACAAGGAAATGATAGGCTGCCATTGAATCTTTCAAACTTAAAACCTTTCTGTACTTTTGAATGAAAATCTCAAAATCTATAGGAGTCTTCCCAATATCTATCTATTTATGACTGAAGGTATGTAAATCACCAGAGTTGCTGTACTGCACCACTTGAATAAAAGTCATATGCACAGTCTTGACCTTTTTTCCCCCTTGAACTTAGTTCAAAACATATATTATTCCAACAGGTCTTTATCTATCAAGTGATAAGATTGTTACAGAATTCTAAGGTATTACATGGTTATAGTCTTTAAAACATCCTTGAACCATGGACATTTGAATTACATCTTAATTCTTTCCAAAGAATATGCCATGCTACTTAATATAGCAGAAATAAAGTCTCTAGGTTATCATAAAATGTTTAAGTTATCGCATTATAAAACTCAAATCAGTAATATAAGTAAGTGACTTTTACCCTGGAGGAAAATTATCCAAAAATCTATAGAAAATCTCCTATCCATTCTTCACTTAAGATGTGAAGTTTGTAGGTTACAGATTATTGACAAAGGTAGTTATCTCATTAATCTCATGCTTTGACCTTGAACATTGTCCTATACAACTAAGTGTATTACTCCAACTATTCTATGTGTATTAAGTATTAAGTCTATGGGATGATAAAAATATTCAAGATATTATTACATCACTGATTATGGGACACTTGCATCTTTATGGAGGGTCCTATTGAGACCTATTTTAAATTCAAAACAGGACACACACATACACAAATAAGATATATTTACAGTTCCAGGAAAGTAATAATTACACCAAAGCTAGCTTTTGAATATCTGTGTAATTTTGGGGGTTGTAGAAATTAGATGAAAAATAAAGGATCCAATGTAAAAAAAAAATCATACATATCAACTGTCTTCAATTTTAACTGGACAAATTAAGTTATATTTAGACATTTTGAAGTCTCTGGGAATTAGTTTTTTGAAGATCTCATACTATCAGAAAATCTCAATATTAATTCTTTGATTTAGACCTCAGTTTGATAAATGATTACAATTTATCTATTGTTGTGTATAACAGAATATGAAGGATATGAAGGGGAGAGCTTTTGACCTTTTTTTCTTTCATCATAGTTCAAAATATATATTATTCCAGTCTTTATCTATGTAGTGAATATAAGATTTTTACAGACACCCAAGGTATTACATAGTAATAGTCATATAAACTCTTTTGAACATTGTACATTTGATTAACATTTCAATTCTTTCCTAAGAATTTGCAACTAATCTTTATAAAGTTTATAAGTTATCACACAATGTTGAAGTTATTGCATTACAACTTATATCAGTAATTTCAGTGACTAACTTTTACCCAGGAGAAAAATGATCCAAAAAATCTATAGAAATCTCTTATGCATTCTTCGTTTGTGTACTTATGATGTGAAGTTTGTAAGTTACAAATTATTATCAAAGAAGTCATCTCAATAATTTCATGCTTTGACCTTGACAAAGTGTCCTAAACAACAAAGTGTATTCTTTCAACCATTCTATATGTAATAAGTATGAAGAATATGAGATGATAAAGATATTCAAGATATTATTAAATCACAGATTATGAACACTTGCATTTTAAGGGGGGGGGTCCTATTAAGACCTATTTTAAATTCAAAATAGGTCATGATACATACACAAACAAAATGTATATACAATTCCAGGAAAGTAATAAACAAACCAAAGCTAGCTTCTAAATATCTGTGTAATTTCTAGGGGGCTGTAGAGATAAAATGAAAAATAAAGGATTCAATGTATAAAAGCCATACATAAAAACTGTATTCAATTTGAACTGGACAAAATAAAAGTTATATTTAGATTTTGAAATCTGTGAGAATTAGTTTTTTGAAGATCTCATACTATCAGAAAATCTCAATATCAATTCTTTGATTTGATTAGACCTCAGTTTGTTTAATGACTACAATTTATCTATTGTTTTGTATGACAGAATATGAAGAATATGAAGGGGAGAGGCACAATCCTGGGTCCTTTCTTTCTCATCCTGTGAACCACAATCCATGATCATAATGATTGATTTAGATTGGAATCATATTTATTCATGTGCTTCTTGAGTCCTCCATCCCTCTCTGTTTTTATTTCCTTGTATCAGTGTTCTAGATGATATACTGTATTCTGTTAGTCTCTGCATAATTTACTGAGTTCCCCATTGAGAATCCTTGAAAGGAAAAAACATTCTTTGTTGAAAAATTGTTATGCAACATAAGCTTAATAGAATTCTAAATATAGACAAAAAAAGGGTATAAATATAAGGTGTAACATCAGATTTTGACTTTTCAAAACTATGGGTACTTCCAGTAAAGAAAAGAGTAAAGGAATGAGTAAAATTCCGTTTGGAAAGAGCGTTCTTACAGAGAAAGATGTAGACAGAGGTATACCAATTAAAATAAAAAAAGATGGCACTATTGAGATCATTTCTCATGAAGAATATATTCAATAATGTCCCAAAAAGGATGAGCCTTATGATGTCAGAGATTACATGACAGACCCTTGATTACAGAAGAAGCCAATGAAGAATATAACCATTTATTACCAAAGAGGGTAATAATTACCTGGATTACCCTGAAAGACCTTTGACTGGAGAAGAAGTCAAGCTTATGGATGATAAGAGAGAAAACAGTTGTCGAAAAAAAAGATTGTTATAGACATAGGATTTTAACCCCATAGAGGTGAAGAGACAAGGATTAATGAAGGGAGTTTAAAAATGAACTCTTGGATGATACTAAGCTTATTTTTGAGAGTGAATTTTCAGTGTTTGTTTACCACAAAACTATGTATTCTGATAAAAAAATTCTCACTTCCATTTGCTGTGATTTAGACCTCAATAAATGACCTCTGGTCATGATTATGATACACACTCTGATCATCTGTTGTCTCAGATGTGAAGTATCTATGTTGTTTACTTCAAAAGATTGAATCAGGGCATTTGTGTTCAGACAAACAAAGAGATATGATGAAAACAATATATGGATAGATCTAAGATCTTGGAGCATACATATTAATGATTTAAGGAGAAAAAAATATTCAAATAAATTACTGGATTATTAACATAAAGAAAAAAAAATCGTAGAAATGATATTGAAAAAAAGGGTGATGTAAATGATGTGAGAGACTACATTGAAAGAGTCACTTGACTGCAGAAGAAGCAGTGAAGAATATAGCCAATTATAACCAAAAGAGAGTAAGGATTACAATGTATCTGGACTATACTTAAAAATTTTGACTGGAGGAGAAGTCATTAATGGATAGGAGAAAACATTTGTCAGAAAATGGAATGTTAAAGACATGATTTTAAGCCCACATAACCACTGGAGAAGATACAGACATTAATGAAGCAAGTGCAAACTGAACTCTTGGAAGACATTAAGGCTCATTAGGAGAGTGAGTTTCCAGTATTTGTTTATTACAAAATTATGTATTCTGCCACAATAATTCCCATTTTTCATTTGGTGTGACTTAAACCTTATAAACTAACCTTTGGTGAAGATTATGATACATATTCTGATTATCCTTTTATGTCTCTATGGTACAGGGTATTTGTGTTGAAAGAGCTGAAGACAATATACAGACAGATTGGAGATCTTGGGAGCTTACATGTTAATGATATTAAGGAATTAAGCTGAGGTTAACAAATTAACCCTAAGATATAACTTATTTTTGTTTAATGTTATAGCTTAAGCTTTTAATTATCATTTGTGACACGATAGAAGTTTACTGTTCTGTATTAGCAATACAGAACGGGACTTTTAGCTACTTTCCGTTCTGCATTAGCCTTGTTTACAGTATTGCATTTGCCAACTATTCTGTATCTAAAATTTTTGATTCAATTTAGCTACGTACACATAATAAATACTGATGTTTTCCTATTATTAATTTTTAAGAAATACCCGGTATTTTTCTGGCAGAATGTCAAAATTTCTAAATTACTTTTTAAAAACTTATCCACACAGAATCTACATGTAATCGAAAGTAAAAAGAAAAATCGCAATAACGGAAAACATCCTCTGTACCTAATTTTGAACAATCCACACGAAACGGAAAATTCGCTACCACGGAAAAAATCCTTCTCGCTGACGACAGCCACACGTCTCTTACACTTCGTTTTTAATGTCGCAATTCAATTTGAAAATAAAAATCCGTGACATCAAAGTCCATCGAAGAATTTTCTGTAAATCCTGTTTATGTTCTAGTTAAACTTATCCCTGAAATAAATTATGATAAATCTCCATCTACAATCATAACAGTAGATCCCAACAATTACGGTTAAATCCTCCAATTTATCACTGACTATCAACGTCTTTAAATTGTCAAAACAAATCTGACCGAATTTTACGTTTTCCGTGGAAATATATAAATCGGATGCGTACTATTTTACAGAACTCTGGCGGAAGTTTGGACGCTGCAAAGTTATAAAGTGGGCGGAGCTATTTTTGATTGATCGTGTCACAAATCATTTAGAGAACTCGACAATCGTAGATCAAATTTTTTGATTGATCGTGTCACAAATCATTTAGAATCGACATAGATACAAATTTGGGGGCGGAGACTCGTGCTTTCGCACTCGTCTGCCCCCAAATTTGTAATACAGAACCTGTCGAGTCTAAATAATACTTGGCAAAGAAAAAAAATCATACATTTTAGTTTTAAAATGCTATCATTTTTTGTATATCTTAAAATATGGAGATCTTCTTCTAAAGGAGATCAATATAGCTTAAAAATGATCATGACCACCCAGTCTTTTTAACTTATAAAATCCTATCTTTTACTTCCCAATTCAATCAATTTCAAAGTAAAAACATGCATAGTAAAAAATAAAAATCACAGTTATATTTCATTTTAACTTTACCCTCAAGTTTGTTTGTTTCTAACTATGTTGGTTGATTAACTGTGCATTTCCAAAGGAAGAGCAGGCAGTCTTAACTTCATAGAGAATTGATTATAAATGGGTAGGAACAAAACATATCTTCCATGTTGATGACTGTAGAAATAACAATTTTGTTATTATGACACAATACTGCACAAAACAATGCATGATTAAATATAATGCCAAAAAGATGGAAATATATTTTTAAATAATTACTTAAAATTTTTGTTTTTAACATTTACACCAGATGAGAAAAGTACATCATGTTATCTATAGATAATTAAAAAGCATAATTACTTTATTAATATCACACAAGAAAATGATTATCAGGGTAATTATTTAGACATTAAAAGACTTATTCTTAACAGAAGATTCAATTTTGTTAAATACCTGTCCGTACATAACTAATATACAAAAACAATACAAGCATGTAAAACATGTATAATTCCTTCATTTTCTGAAAGCTCATTACTAGGAAACAAAAGTGAAAATGAAACTATAAGTGTGCCATATCACACATATTTAGAATGAAAACAAAAGTAAATAAAATTAATTTATGTACATTTATACTTTTCTCTTATTGCATTCTTAATATCTCTTTCCCCACCATTTAGTAACTCTGAATTTCAAGGGTAGGTAACATAAGGAATTATGAGATTGTATCATAACTCATGCAAAAGGACTTACATGTATTAACATTCTGAGGATCCCTTAGTGTATTTAAGGCTAAATAAGGCTGTGTTTATATGAATGTTAGAGACATCAGATCACATTAAGTACTACACAGTAATTAAAATTATATAATCATGGTGAAATGCAAAGATGACCTTCATAGGAAATGAAAACAAAAAACAAGACAAGCTTACTAGATATCCAACTGTATACCCAATAAGTCTATCCAGTAGATAATCAAGTGAAACAACATCCCCGCTGATCCTGGAAAATCATACATATTCAGTGATACACAGCTAACCTCATTTTAAACTGAAGTGAATCAATAATTTTTAGACAAACAGGACAGATTTCTAAAGGATAGCCAATTGTATTTAACCAAAATTTAGTAAACATTTTTTTTTATTTAAAATCATAGAAATATAAAACTCTGCGTTACATTTATACATCACATGAACTGAGGATAAATACCACATTTACAGAAACAGGAGTTGTATCAACAACTAATTGATACATTAGTTAATAAAGTCATTAAAGTGTGTTGTACAAAACCTTTATTAGAGTCACGTAATGAATCATTAAATATTTAAGAATTCATTAAAGATTTATTAACATTAGGGGAATATCCCACAATGCAATGCATTAATAATCCGTGGGCGTTTCCTTTGTTTACAAAATACTTAAATAAGCTATAATTAATAAAATAGTTTCTTTTATCAACCGAATAGAAATCATTTTAATTAACGTGAAAATAAAAAAAATTGTCATTTTTTTAACATTATTTAAATTAGAACTACTGACAGAATTCAATTTAAATGTAATAGAAATCAGGGGAAAATAATTCTAGCCAATTGTTAACCGAACTTATGTAGAGAAATATCGATGTCATAAATACATGTCTTACATAAAGGGATTATACAACCAAAACATCACATGATTATTTGGTATTACAAAATACCACATTTACAGAAACAGAACTTTACATGATTAATTACTCGCTAAGCTGTTCATATTCTTATATTACATTTCACTTTGATTTTTTCTCTTCATTTACTCCTATGTTGTTCTATTCTTATAAATTCATTATTAAAATTAATAAATAACTGATATATATACATGAAGAAAGTATCAATATCATTAATTAAAGTTAAAGAATGTTCAATACAAACAATTAAGTAAAGGAGGATTATCACGGCGCAAAATGGAATCACGTTTACCTTTTTGCGAAAAAGATTTCATGTATGTATTGTACATGTAATTATGTTCTGCCTTTTTTTTGGACACACATGTTTAATAGCTTGATGAGACATCATTTACTACAATGTAATCTGTCAATTATGATTTCTAAGAAAAATTACTCTATTACATGTTTATAAAATGTTGGGTTGGTAGGCATGATTTAAATAAAATAACACTGATAAACTTAAAGCATATACTCGTATTTTAAAGATATTATATGTAAAGAAGGTACAGGCTCTTTATTCTACTCAAAAATATACAGTGAATAATTTATAACATCTTGACTTTTATATACTGTTAAAATGAAGCCACTGTTACATGTATTTGTGATAGAAGTATCAGGCAGAGGGGGGGGGGGGGCTTGCTATTACAGTATATATAAAAGATCTCTGATATATTATACCCGTAAACCTTAAAATAGGAGCTGTATTTATTTTTTTACTGTTTCAAAGAGCTAACATAGAAATGAAAACAAAACAAAAACAAAATAAAACAACGTATTTTGCAACAGTTGGGATTTCTATTGTGATTTGATAAAGAAATCTTTATACCTATAATTTTGTTGACAAGGTAGGTGATGTATTTGTGATTATTGCCACTGACAAACCGTCCATCATAATTTTTTTTAAAACGGTATCATTTCACTCGTGTTCACAAAAGGCACTGATTCTTCTCCTTCTGCCAACCAAAACATAAAGTAGGCCGCCATACTTAATGACTTTTTAATGAAGAATCATAAAAGATAAGTTAAAACATTGATACAGAATTTATTGACACATTAAAAATTGGCATAATCCAGAACTTTAATGAAATTACTCTTAATAAAAACATATATACCTAACACGTTTATAAATTTATAGAGATTCTGGTCACTGTGATAAAAGGTTCATAAGAAAAGGATCTAATAGATAAGATTCATTGGCATAATATGATCTGAGAGATTATCTCCATATCCTTCATTTGGTCACTGTGATAAAAGGTTCATAGAGAAATGTCACTTTATTTGTTGTAAAAGCATGTATCAGAATTTGGATTTTATAAAGATATGCTATGAGGCTCCTCATAAGAATATTTAGAATACTGATCCAACAAAAGGTTTATGTGAGATAATATATCATAACTCATGCAAAAAGATTCAACAGCATTTAGAGGATCTCTTAATCCTAGTGTATTTTAGGGTACACATGGCTGTGTTTTTATGAATGTTATAAACATAAGGTATATAACACAGTAATAATAAATAAATACAAAGATGACCTTCATAGAAAATGTATTTATAAACAAAAATATGTAAAACTTACCATGTATATACTCAGTATATAGTAATATTCATTAAATAATCCAGTGAAATATCATTTAGCCTGATCCAGGATTCAGCTGTTCAGAACTTTCTTGGAAGAAAAATGGTTGAAAATCAGTGTAAGTACTGAAATCCATAGGACCATACATTTATTTACATGAAGTCTCCAGGGCTGTGAAAGTCTGTGTTATTGTGTCAAAATAAGCAGCCACCGAGGCTCTGAAGGACTAACATGACGTCATACTCAAGATTTGAATCGCAGCCAAGTTTATGACGTCACAATGCATAGGTAGCTGTGATTTGAATCGCTGCCAAATCGTAGTAGCAGCGTTGAATCGTAGTAGCAGCGTAGTAAAAAGCTAGTACAGTGTAAGCGCCCTATTGGACATATAGGGCTGTGTACTGAGTTGACCCACCTAGCCCCACACAGGGTTAGGGTTAGGGTTAGGGGTTAGGGGTTAGGGATAGGGTTAGGGGTTAGGGTTAGGGTTAGGGCTGTACTCAGTTGACCTCCCTAGTCCCCCAGACCCCCAACCTGCACTCCTTTGAACCCCCAGCGGCTTAGCCAATCAGAATCCACCATTTTTGACCTCATTTGCATAAAAAGTGCACTCAGTTGACCTCCCTATCTCCAATGTCCTAGATATTGACCTCGCCAACTAGACGGCTTATACTACTGCTTCCGACGCCAATGTTTGGTATTTTGCTAATGCCGCTGACTGAATTCTGGGTCTTATTTTACAGTTAAGATGAAGTTCCTCCTGCTCTACCTTGTGGCTTCCATGGTATTCTATTCAGATGGACAACAATGGGTAGGGTTCTTTCAATACCTGGATGGAGAAGTTCAAGGAGTAGAACAAGCCCTGGTCGAATCCGAAACTAATATAACTCAGTGCAATGCTTGCTACAATATCAAAGGTAGTATTGTACAATCATGGTGTCTCAAATACTAGATTTTAAAAATATAATTTTCAATCAAGAAAATGCCATATATTCTATTACGATTTAATGCGAACACCATAGATGTCAAATTCATGCGAGCATCATGACTCTCTAATTGTAAATAAAAATGTCCCTTTACTGGTTATGTCAATATTATTTTAAGCAATATACAAGTAACATTCTCCTTTGATATCCAAAGCCCTTAATAAATAGCGGTTATACTGAACACGCACCATTTAAAATTCTAAGTGTTGGTGCTGGATTTTGTTATGTTAATACTTCAGAAATGAAAGAAAATATATATATATATATATATATATATATATATATATATATATATATATATATATATATATATATATATATATATATATATATATATATTGTTAAATCCTAAGTAAGGCCATTCCAAGTTTTTTCTATGTTTAGCGTCCGCGTGCGCCCTGGTTTTTGACACCCAATATAAGAAAAAACACACATCAGTCCTGAAATTGATTAATTTAGTCGAAATTTTTTAATTTTTTCAATTTCTCCAATGAAGTTATTTTGTAAAGTAAGTTATATTGGGTGTATTTTAAGCATTTAATCCCTTGTTTTTGCTTAAGAATAGATATTTCTTCTATTAAAGCAGTTTAGTTAGATCAAATCATTTGAAGGGCGTCATTTTTATGACTTTTAAGCCTGTGTTTTATGTTTTGGCTTGTGTGTTTGTGGCGAATAGGTATAGGTAGGTTTTTGAAAGATGGGTGGACGCTAAACAGAGAAAAAACTTGGAATGGCCTAAATGGAAAATTAAATTAAACAATTTTATACTTGAAATTTAACTTTTTAAGGTCTTCTGTCTTCACAGAAGACCTTATAGTTATTCTATTGTTTCTTGTTATTATTTTTTTTCCCGCACACTAAATTTTGTGCAATTTCTCGAAGACTACTGGGCGGATTTTCATGAAATTTACAGGAACAATGTGTTATTATCTGAAGTTATTTTATCCGAAATTTTTTTGGAAATTTCTATCTGGTGCCAAGTTATGGACCATTTTCTTAATTTAAAATGACATTTTGTCCGCGGTTAATCTCAAGAACGGTAAAAGATATCAATGTGAATCTTTCAGGGATTATAGATCGTGATAAGTACTATCCAGGACGCGACCTTTCGTTCGTCGTCAGTACTTCCTGTCGTTACCGGATGCGAATGAAAAAAATCGTATTTTCTAACTTTTTTGTTTTTCAATATTTTTCATTTATTTTTGGAATGTTAATAGAGACCCTTCTTTTGATGCTTACTATATAATTTGTTTAAATATTGATGCATATGAAGTCTATATATTTACATTTAAAAATCTGAAGCGGCTGTATCTGTCAAGTCCGATATTTCGCGAGTAGGGGGTTAAAGAGGCAGCTGAGCGTTTGCTTGAACAAAAGTAATATAAGGATAAATGAAATGTAAATGAATACGCTGATTTTCACGTTGTAGTTACGTTGCCATTCTGTGTTAAACTAAAGTGTTTATCCAAGGTCTTCACAAACGTGTTTCATAACTGGTTTTGGTGTGTCATCAAAGTAGAAAAAGAAAAGACTACATGTACAAATGAAATGCGATATCTACAACTTTTTGTTGTGCACCACGGAAAAGAGATCTTAAAGCATAGTTATAAGTAAAAGTTTTACAAGAAACAATTTATTTAGAGGGTATAAAATGTAACCACTGTTTTTTCAATGCACACTTGTGTCATATTAAACTAACAGAAAAGACACAGAGACGAATACTTTTTAAAGGAGCGTTTAACGGAGTTTACATACACTTTTTTTCTGACAGATCTGATGCAAGTCATTAAACATAAATTGACTGTCATAGGGAAAGGCATGTTTTCGGCGAAACTTTCCAACCCTTTCATAAAAGTGTAACCTAATTGGGAAAGTCCACTTTGGGGATACACAGGAAATTTACAAAAGTTAAAAATTCATAGTCGTTTCACTGCTTTAGTGTTACTTAGATAGATACGATATCTAATGTGTAGAATGTGTTAAATATACTTTCTAAACCTCGAAATTTAGGCGATAAGAACGTTCTTTTTTTATTTCATTGAAGCTATCAAACCTTTTAATAGAACATTCTAAAGAGAAGGCACTGAGATTTACTTGTGGCGTTTGGCGCGAAATTATGAATTGTGACTCTCCTTTCATAATTCTAAGACATATGAACTGTTGCAGAATTGCATGTACATACAAGTAAATTTAGAGTAGGGGATAAAATAGCGAAATAGATAACGTGTTGAATTTTTACGCTGGTGACCCGTTTCAATTACCAGTGTGTCCAAAGATCTTTTAATCAATTTTCAGCTCAATTTTACGGGGTTTTTTCCGGAATAGGACGGAAGACCTCTCGTTGCTCGCAACGAGATCGTTTCTAGTTAATAATACAATTCTTCATATTTAGGTATAAAGGGCTTAAAAGGAGATAATGGAATCAGTGGAGTAGCAGGCCCGAATGGAACCACGGGGCTCAAAGGCGCTGTAGGACCGAAAGGATCGAAGGGTAATACAGGAGCCACAGGTCCCTCGGGCCCACCTGGTGCGCCAGGACCCAAGGGACCTAAGGGTGTCGAAGGACCCAAGGGTAATCCTGGGAATGCCGGAGATACAGGCGATGCTAATGCAGTGAAGGGACAAAAGGGTGATCCAGGCCCCACTGGAATCGCTGGAATCAGTATCCCCGGATCCACGGGGGATAAGGGAGAAAAGGGGGGTGTGGGGGTAAAGGGCACTAAAGGGAACGTAACAATAGGTGCTGCTGGGTCCAGCGGAGATCAAGGCCCTAAAGGAGATCCAGGAGAAAAGGGGGAACAAGGAGTCCAGGGAAATAACGCCACCAATTCTAACCCCCAACAGCAGCAGCAGCAAAACGGGGCCGGGTCTTTCCTGATCAGCATGTCCACCGCCATAGGAGTGTATTTCCTGGCAGTCTGTTTCATCTCTTCAATGAATTGGAATATTGAATTATTTTAAAGAAACAATACCACACTGAGGATTTTTTTGGATGGGTTTTTCGTATTAAACGTTGATTTTATACTCGTATATCCTGACATTTAAAAACTTAAGATCTATCAATGAACAAAGATTGAATTGGTTTTCCCGTTTTACTATTATATGGTTTCTAAGTGTTCACTTTGATAAATGTATTTATTAAAAAACTACATGATTAATTGTATGATATTTAATTATCACCGATAAAATCAAATGTCCCGTTTTGGGAGTTTCAAAACAATAAATCTGTACAATAACAATAAAAAATAGAAACAAGGTTCAAAATTCACATGGCAAACTTTAATTGGAAATTGTGTATATTAACTAAGTTGTTAATTGTAAACGGACGTATTGGTGCTAACTCATTAGGAGAGGTGACGTGTAAAGGTTTGAGCACTGTAGACTGCATGATTATTCACTTCATAAGTATGTCATGAATATGCAAGTACTTGAACAAAACAAATTATTTTCTGATGTTCATAAACCTTTTGCTTTGCATTAAAAACTACAAAAAAATGATTTCAGTATGAATTGTTGGAGTGCAACGGAATGTGTAGAAAAAAATCAAACCATGGGATTCTTCTAGAGAACATGTACAAGTGTACGTATATGTACAGTCTATTGATACTGATCAACTAAATCAAGTTTTAGCATTGTTAGATTTAAGCAAATTATATATCATTCCTAAATGTGCATAAAGTTAATAAAAAAATTGTTTTAAAAAAATCTTTTGAGCAAAAAAGTTTAAAACCACGTGTTTTATTTATTTTCTCATGGGTTTGTCTAAATGCCGTTATCTGATTGGTCAGAAAGATAGACACCTTGTTTATCCTGACAAGTGTATTCATAGCAATTCACGGTTATCTTTCTTGACTTCCATATTTGGAAATCGTCCAGACCTGTTTAAAGACTTAACTAAAGCTCCGGGAATAGATGTAGAAATTAATCAAATAGTTGATAATGATATAGATAGCTTAACAGTGCATAGATCTTAACCAAGACCTTAATAAATATATAAATCATGCAGAGTGAAATTAAAAAAGCTATAAAAAAAATCTGGAAAACAATAAATCGAGTGGGGAAGATGGTATAAATCAAAGTACTCAGAAGTACAGAGAGCCGGTCTCATTTACAGAGTAGAATGAATTTCTTACATGAATCACGTTTATATTTTGATGAAAAAATTATTTTAAAACTATCAATACAAATGATAAGACACTGACAGTGAGTTTTTCAATCCTAATACCACGGTCTGATTTTGTCAGAATTAGAATTAATCTGGTACCGCAGCTGAATGTAAACAAACAGGCCAGCCTGGTTCCCTCTCCTGCTTTACTCGTATGTGTAGAGAACTACGATAACACTGGTTATCAAAAATCCTTACGCTAATGAACTATGCTCATTGACTTAGGACTGAAGTTTTCAAAGTCATTACTACTAATGTTTATTTATATAGATTAAACTTCGTTTCATTTTTGTTGTTTTATTTAGCGTTTGTATTATCTCAAAAGCGGTTGAGAGTAAGAACTATATTTTTGCACGTAACTTTAAAATGGCGACTATGGGGTCAACTTCCTGCCTTGAACGCAGAAGGATAAAACGTACGCTGAACTAGGACCTGGGGTCCCCCGCAAATAGTTCGTCATTTTGCGTAGTAATAAAACATTCTAGGAACTCTCCAGGCATTAAAGGCACAAAAGTAAACTCATCGATATCAATACGGAGACCTCAGGTCACCTTATATATTAATTGAATTTTATATTTTACTCCAAAATAATCATATCTATAACTTTATAAAGATCAATTTTCTAATATATATATTAGCAGAAACGTGAAAGCAATAAAGGGTGACCAGAGGTAACCTCATATTGTACATCAATAGGGGGACCAAAGATCACCTTACATTGTACATCAGTAGGGGAACCAGAGACCACCTTATATTTACCATCATTAGGGAGACCAGTGGTCACCTTATATTGTACATCATCAGAGGGATCATAGGTCATCTTACATTTTAAATCAATAGGGGTCCAAAGGTAATCTTTTATTGCACTTAATAGCAGTGAATAGGGGGGCATGGGGATACCTTATATCGTACATCATTTGGGGGACCAGAGGTCACCCTATATTGTACATCAGAAGGGGGACTGCAGGTAACCTAATATTGTACTGTACATCAGTAGAGGGACCAGATGACACCTTATAATGTACATCAGTAGGGAGACTAGAGGGCACCTTATATTGTGCATCAGTAGGGGGGGGGGACAGAGGACACCTTATACTATAATACATCTGTAGGGGGACCAGCGGCCACCTTATATTGTACATAAGTAAGGGGAGGGGGCAGAGGTCACCTTATATTGTACATCAGTAGGGGGACGAGAGGACACTTTATATTGTACATCACTACGGGGCCCAGAGGTCACCCGATATTTAACATTAGTACGGGGTCTAGTGGTCACCTAATATTGTACTGTACATCAGTAGAGAGACCAGAGGTCACCTTATATTGTACATCAGTAGGGGGACCAGAGGACACCTTATACTATACATCTGTAGAAGACCAGAGGAC